ACATTTAGTTCTGTTCTTGTATGAATTTTCCCCATTGTTCAGCTTGTGTACCTCCAAAAGTGAATTTTGCAAAACATTTCCGCCTCCATCGTACGTCCTTTCCTTTCACCCGCATCATTCCCAAACTGTATAGGGGCAACTCAGCTCTAGGCACAGTGATGTGGTGTGGTGTAGTAGTAGTTGGATTCGGAGATACATCTTAGGTATATCTTCCATATAAATATAGGGTGTCGGATAATTGGTTTCTAAAGCTTAAGGTTTCTGAATTAAGGTTGCTTTGTGAGAAATTCAATAAGAGATATTGAATCGAAAACATCCATAACTATGCTGATAAGCGTAATAAATTTGTAGGCCAGAAAGTTGTTTCGTTCTAAAGATGAAGAAGAATGATAACCACCAAGATGCCACCCTTAGGTATGCTTATTCCAAATTGGTGGGTGGCAAAATATAGTTTCAGCGTAGCAGCTCTCTACCCTCGTTGCATCCTGTACTGTGCTGAATCTGCTACAAATCCGTCGTTTTCTCTTAGGTCGGTGAGATCTCACAGAGACAGTTCATTTTAAATTCATTTACCCTCAAGCACACTCAAAAGGGGTGGAATGGAGTTGATCCCATTTTTCTTCTCAAGTTAAAAACTTCTAGAAGACTTCAAAAATTACGGATGATTCTTTTTCCTAGGTAAGGAATGCGTTATTAGGAACTAGAAAAATGAAGTACATCCTTTAAATTCCGGACTTCATTTAAATTGGAGCCAAAATTATCCTCTATACCTAGGTGCATCCAAATCAAAGTACGCCACGAGATGTATAACTTTCAGCTTGATTTCTCTTACCTCGATTTAACAAATCAAACCTTTGAAAACTTTTAATAATTTAAATATGTTTAGCAAAATATCTGTATCAGTTTATCATATTATTTTGCAACTATTTTATCCTTTTTGTCACAAAAGACATCCGTGCCATTTCAAGTTAAGCGAATTCTCATACAATACGTTGCAGACACGTAACTAAATCTATATTTATGTCGATAAACAGTTTATGGAGAATATATTGAACTAAACATGTCTGAATCAACATATACCTGCGAATAAACTTTTAATGGATATTATTCTGCGACATCGATTCAATAGACATTCCAATCCATAGAAAAAGTCTCTTGCACAAGAATATCATTTTGATGAAATAAGCAATAACGCTTAAATGATTATTTTCTTTAAAAATTTAAATATAATCGGCTGGGCCGATATACAGATTACCCATAAAAGTTAGAATTTAATTTAGGAACAAAACGCATAACAGCAATCTTAAAAAATACGAATAAACAAAGACCTGAATGTCCGAGTGGCAAGCGCTCTGGCGCATGGTACCACAGGTTTCGGGTTCGAATCCCGGCGGTACCATGGATGTTTGTAGTGGTTCGGAATCCACTTAAACCGTAGGTCCCGGTCTAACAGGATCGTAGAGCGTTGCAGAGGTATTGTTACTCTGAGTCCGTAGCTTATCTTCAAGCTACACCCCTTCCTGGATAGTGCTAAGTGAGTAACGTCGGTGTAGCACTTACCTTAAGACAACTGTTTAAGTGTTCGCCAGCTGCATTAGAACAAAAAAGAATAAATAAAAACTATAGAATTCCAAACGATCCTCTTTATTTGAAAAATAACATTTTCATTTTGAAATAATAAAAAAAAAACTGTAGAATTACAAACGATTCTCATTACTTGAAAAATCGTATTTTCTCTTCAAAAAAGTAAAAAAAATAAATAAATAACAGAATTTCAAACGATTTTCTTTACTTGAAAAATCGTATTTTCACTTCAAAAAAGTAAAAAAATAAATAAATAACTGAATTCCAAACGATTTTCTTTACTTGAAAAATCGTATTTTCTCTTCAAAAAAGTAAAAAAAATAAATAAATAACTGAATTTCAAACGATTTTCTTTATTTGAAAAATCGTATTTTCACTTCAAAAAAAGTAAAAAAAATAAATAAATAACTGAATTCCAAACGATTTTCTTTACTTGAAAAATCGTATTTTCACTTCAAAAAAGTAAAGAAAATAAATAAATAACTGAATTCCAAACGATTTTCTTTACTTGAAAAATCGTATTTTCACTTCAAAAAAGTAAAAAAAATAAATAAATAACTGAATTCCAAACGATTTTCTTTACTTGAAAAATCGTATTTTCACTTCAAAAAGTAAAAAAATAAATAAATAACTGAATTCCAAACGATTTTCTTTACTTGAAAAATCGTATTTTCACTTCAAAAAGTAAAAAAAATAAATAAATAACTGAATTCCAAACGATTTTCTTTACTTGAAAAATCGTATTTTCACTTCAAAAAAGTAAAGAAAATAAATAAATAACTGAATTCCAAACGATTTTCTTTACTTGAAAAATCGTATTTTCACTTAAAAAAGTAAAAAAATAAATAAATAACTGAATTTCAAACGATTTTCTTTATTTGAAAAATCGTATTTGCACTTCAAAAAAGTTAAAAAATAAATAAATAACTGAATTCCAAACGATTTTCTTTACTTGAAAAATCGTATTTTCACTTCAAAAATTAAAAAAAATAAATAAATAACTGAATTCCAAACGATTTTCTTTACTTGAAAAATCGTATTTTCACTTCAAAAAAAAAAAAAATAAATAAATAACTGAATTCCAAACGATTTTCTTTACTTGAAAAATCGTATTTTCACTTCAAAAAGTAAAAAAAATAAATAAATAACTGAATTCCAAACGATTTTCTTTACTTGAAAAATCGTATTTTCACTTCAAAAGTAAAAAAAATAAATAAATAACTGAATTCAAACGATTTTCTTTACTTGAAAAATCGTATTTTCTCTTCAAAAAGTAAAAAAATAAATAAATAACTGAATTTCAAACGATTTTCTTTATTTGAAAAATCGTATTTTCACTTCAAAAAAGTAAAAAAAATAAATAAATAACTGAATTCCAAACGATTTTCTTTACTTGAAAAATCGTATTTTCTCTTCAAAAAGTAAAAAAAAATAAATAAATAACTGAATTTCAAACGATTTTCTTTATTTGAAAAATCGTATTTTCACTTCAAAAAGTAAAAAATAAATAAATAACTGAATTCCAAACGATTTTCTTTACTTGAAAAATCGTATTTTCACTTCAAAAAAGTAAAAAAAATAAATAAATAACTGAATTCCAAACGATTTTCTTTACTTGAAAAATCGTATTTTCACTTCAAAAAATTAAAAAAATAACTAAATAACTGAATTCCAAACGATTTTCTTTACTTCAAAAATTACATCATCACTTTGAAATAAAATTGTCTTAGCTTTCACCAGACGATCTTTTAGAACAATTTTACATTATATATATTATTATTATTATTATTATTAAAATAAATTTAAATAAACCAATTAGAATAGCTAATAAAAAAATTTAAAAACTAAGAAACAATGATAGTGGCCAAGGACATGAAAAAAAGTGTCCAAGGAAACGAAAAACTCCGTTCTCGAAAACAATACCCATAATTTTATGGGTAAAAATGCAGGTGCATTATTTGGATCTATTCAAAAAAAAACTCACCTAATATCTAAATGACTGTTTATCTAGAAGAAAAATTATCCAAGAGTCATATTTTCAGAAAAGTTAGGAATTCATCTTTAAAGTGATACGACCATTTCCCACAAGAGATAATTTGTCACTTTGTCAAGAAAAAAAAATTATCTAGCATCTTGTTTACTCAGTGCATTGTTACCTTTTCAGCGATATATGATAAGTATAAAACAAATAAACAAATAAATAACTCTCATGACTTATTTTGTGCCTCCACCCCCACAATAAGTCACAGTTAATCTATGAGGACAACAGATTACTTGACATTAGAGGTGGATTTCCACCTGGTGTCCATCCTTCCAAAAGTCTTATGCTGTAAAACGCAAACCAATCGGATACCTGATTTCTTACCCAAGTAAACTTCCGATTGGTTGGAGTTTTAAGACGTGATATTTTATCATCCGACGAAACGCTCCTTTAAAGTACCAAGGGAGTGTCGGATAATAGAAATAATTGGTCAATAGAGAGGATATATTATTAATGAGTAAACCAATAAGCTGGAATTATAAACGGCCTAAGTGAAATAATGCTTTGTAACTGTGCTTTCTCTTACATACTAGCAAGAGCGCCCCCTGTGGGGTTCAGGAGAAATGGTCAGTCGAGAGGACCGAGAGGACGTCCAGCACAATCTATGCTCCCGGTTTAGTTTATAGTCTCTCATCCCAAGATAAAATATATTTAGCCGATGAGTTGGCCTACAGACTCTAACCCGGAGAAGTATATTTCGCGCAGCTTGCGCAGTGCCAAGTTTCGTCTTTTCGGCTTAGAAGTGGTGTCCTTCCATGAATCTATAATTATATGTCTTTAAATGTGTTGAATATTGTATGTATCTAATTGTATGTGCATGGTGTTTGTGCGCGTGTAAATAAATCTGTGAGTTCTGAAACTTGTGCCTCAACCCAACCACACCCAGATACAATCTGGTTGCCCAACTTGCACACTACAACTTGAAATAAAATAATTTTTTTAATAAAATATTATAAAGTAATATAAATAAATATAATAATATTAATATAAATAAAATTTAAGATAAAAACTGATGATAGTCCGACCGCCGATCGTGTGGAAAACTGGCAGGCGGCCAAGTCGGATAGATTCAAAAACAGTGGTGTCATAGGACAGAAAATGTCATTCTGGAAAAATTTTAATTGTAACAAAAAATAATTTTATTTTTTAATAAATATTAAAATTTTAGATGACACAATATTAAAAGAAAAATTAAACGAAAATAATTCCACGCTATTATATATTTTTTTTAATTTTGAAGCAACTTTGCTTCGCGTTTATCTGATTAGCACCCCTAACAAGTAATCGAATCCTCCATTTCCGCTTTTAAACCGGATGTTTATCATTCCGTGTTATCTGTAGTTGGACTGTACGTAATGCTATAAAGGGTTTCGTCAACGGCCATACCATGCTGAATATACCGGTTCTCGTTAGATCACCGAAGTCAAGCATCATTGGGCGCGGTCAGTACTTGGGTGAATGACCACCTGGGAACACCGCGTGCCGTTGGCATTCACAAATTTGGGACCGGAATGGCCGAGTGTCTAGCGCTCTGACGCTCGGTGCCACAGGTTTCGGGTTCGAATCCCGGCGTTGCCATGAATGTTTGTTAGTGGTTCGGAATCCACTTTAAGCCGTAGGTCCCGGTCTCCTATGACTGTAAGAGCGTCACGGAGCCAAAGTAGGACTTCTACCTACGGGTGCTCCATCACAACAGAAGCTGCTTCCTTCCCCTTCAATCATGAGTACGTATGGGCTCGTGGGCTTGGCAAGCCAAGTGGGATAAGAAACAACAACAACAACAAGGGTTTGATTTCGATTAACCGAAAATCTACAATCAGTTTTAGTTGGGAGCATAAGTTAACCCATAATTAAAACGAATAATTGAGAGTCTATTGTGCTGAATAAAACTTTATTTCTTATTGCAGGTTTGTCTACAGAATGTCCTTGATAAGTTATTCGAGGAGTAGAATTATGTTTAACAGAAGAGCAGCTGCAAGAGGACGTTTTTTTAAAAAGTAAAAAAAAAAAGCTGGTTTGAATACGAAGAAATTTTCCATCGTCTGTTTTGGAGCTGTTCTGGTGTTTTAAGAACTGTGTGATTTTTCATCATCAGAAATCATTTATAATTTGTATCAGTTCATTATTTCATGTGTTTTGTTAACGATACAGTGCAATCTCGACCATTTTCAAAATCCCAAGTGATCATAAAAATGTGTGTGGTATTCATCTGACAAGTCGTGTAGCTAAGTATTATTAAAAAGAGCTATTGTATTATTTTATTAAAAAAAAAAAAAAAAAAAAATTCACGATTTTTGTTGTGTTGTTTTTATACTATTCGATCCAAACACTCACATTTAAATACATTTCGAATTACTTTTAAATAGAGTGTTTTCAAAACAACTGTAGGACTTTTACAAAAATAAAAAATCGTAAAAGCTTTATTTATTTAATATTCCTTACTTTCAAGGAATTTCAGTATAAAAACCAGTTTTTAAAAGGAAAATAATTATCTTCCTAAATACACTACATTAGATTCAAGAAGACGTTCAATTTATAATTTCTCATTTTCATAATTTTTCACTTCGGCTATCATTTACTAAATTCTTTTTTTTAAATTTGCTTACGAATCTATTATGTTGTTGTTGTTGTTACCTATGGCTTAATTGGAACTCAATCCGGTACTTACGTATTAACGGTACCTTGGCGACAGACTTGGCGGTTTTTAAGTGTTGCCAATCTAACAGCTACTAAGGTTACCAAACAAATAGAATAGATTGGTGCCACTTAAAAACCGCCAAATCTGTAGCTGCGGTTGAAGCGTGTGCTCTTTATCGGCGCAATTGTCGCCAAGGTACCGTTAATAAGTACCCTCAGTCCATACAAATTTGGCCACTTACAGTAGAAACAAAAAGAACACAAACAAATCAAAATTGCAAAGGGAAAAGTTCAGACATTTTTAACAAAAATTACCAAAAGGCCTTAAAAACAAGTTAAATGTTCTAAGGATAAAAAGTTAAAAAGCCTAGAATCACCATAATAAAAGTCCAGATCAGGCATGTTTTCTCTGGCCCTCCAGTAAAGAGTACACACATCGCCATTATGTTGTAAGTTTGAGTCCAGTATACTTTCTCTCTGAGTGAGAATCTGTAGGCCAACTAATACGCAAGGTTGTACATAATATACTTCATTATCATGAATTAAATCATTGCACGTAGTTACAATAGCATCCAAATAATTATCTTACTGGATAGTTTTTGTTAAAGTTGCAATCACACGACTTTTCACTCACCTTTAATTGTTAGAAACTGTTAAAACTTTTGGATTTCTTGAATTGAATCATCGCACATACTTACAATAGCATCCGAGTAATTATCTTTATTGAATTGGTTTTTTTTTTTTTTTTTTTTTTTTTTAATATCAAGCATTCGTAATGGATAAAACAAATTACTAACAAAAATTACTACTAAAATAAAACAAATTTTTTACTTCCTGTGTGACAAAAAATAAAGAGTCAAAATGTACTTTAAAATATTCATTTATAATGCTAGAAATAACTTTTTTTAATTTATGTTAATAGGTGCTTTCTTCTAGTTGTTATGGTTCGAATCCTGGCGGTGGCATGGATGTTTGTAGGTGGTTCGGAATCCACGTTAAACTGTAGGCCCCGGTCTGTTTATCCTAAAGTGTGCACAAGATGACCGTAGAGCGACAAACCAAACCAAACCAAACCAAATCTAGTTGTTACTTAAATTCAATTTTACATCATCTATTTTGAGGCATATTTCTTGTAAAGCAATATGCCAATGTATATTACATATATATAGACATCGGCGCATTGTTATTGTTCTTATGGCTCACTTTCATATTATTATTATTTTTTTTTTTTTTTGTGTGTGTGTGTGTGTGTGTGAGAGAGAGAGTGAGAAAGATTTTCGGACATTTATGAAAGATAAAACAAAAAAATATGACCCAGATTAATATTTCGTTCAATGTTTTCTATTTTATTCCAGACTACAAAATCAGACAGAATTTTCTTCTTTTTTTAAAATTGCATTAAAAATGTATATGGTTACTATAAAAGTGATGGTTAGGTGATATATTGCTACTAGAAAAGCTAAATTGAATACTAAAATACCTATTAAATTAATGTAATATCACGCATAAAATTCTGTGCCTGTCTTTTTAATTATCTTACTAGCAGATAGAACACACAATGTTACTCAGGTCTAAGGAAACTAGGGGATACTAGCCAATATTAAATTGAGAAAATAATTCACATAGAAATTTAAAAACATTTTGCAAAAAAAAAATTTTCGTTCAAGCAATACTTGACGTAACAAAAAAATTTTAAATAAAATTGCGAAAAGAAAAAAAAATTACTATTTTATTTTCAGGAATAGTCCTAAAAACAAATAAAATATTATTTTTAATTTGTTTCAATCAAATATTACAAATTATTTATTGCAAATATACTAATGAAAGCAAATAATTTTTTTTAACAAATGCAGTTTCTAAATGTTTAATTTTATTTTAAAAATTATTGGATTTAAAAAAAATTATAGTTTTATTCAATTAAAAACGAATTTATTAGAATTTTGACGAAATTTTCGATAATGTTTTTTTTTTTTTTTTTTTTTTGTTCTAATGCAGCTGGCAAACACTTAGACACCTTGGTGTTGGATGCCTTAAGGCAAATGCTGCACAGACGTACTCACTTTGCATTACCCAGGGGCGCGTGTAACTTGAAGATAAGCCACGGACGCGGAGTAACAATGCCCACCGCAACGCTCTACGATCTTATTAGACCGGGACCTACTTTTTAAAGTGGATTCCGAACCACTACAAACAACCAAACGGCACCGCCGGGACTCGAACCCGAAACCTGCGGTACCGAGCGCCAGAGCGCTAGCCACTCGGCCATTCAGGCCCCATTTTCGATAATGTGTCAACCCATAAAATATATGGATATTGTTTTCGGGAGTGGAGTTTTCTTTTCCTTGACCACTTTCTATTATTCTTATCAAATAATTTTTTTAAAGTTTCTTTCACGAGCTTTTTTTTCAATTTCTTTCATGAGCTGATAATTATATAATTAAATAACGTAATAAATTGTTTAAAGGGGCGTTTGGTGAAAGCAAAGACTATTTTATTTCAAGATGAAAGCGAGAAAATCATAAAAAAAAATCGAAAAAAGAAAATCGTTTAGAATTTTATAGTTTTTTTTTATTATTATTATTTTTTTAGCATTCTATTATTTTACTATATTCTAAAATTTTTATTATTTTTTTAACTTTTTATTCTTAAATAAAATTATAAATTTTATGGTTAACCTGTATATCGGCCCATCCGATTACAATTTTTGTAATTTTTTTTTTTTATTCTTTTCCTCTTCATCATGAGTTTCCTGAATTTATCAATTCTTAACTGAGCTCATTATAAAATAGAAAATAAAATTTTAAAAAGTAAATGAGCTATTAACGGTATCTTAAATCTTCATGAGCATTTTTAAAAAAAAATTCGGTACTTACGTATTAACGGTACCTTGGCGACAGACTTGGCGGTTTTTAAGTGTCTCCAATCTAAAAGCCTAATATAAAACTGAATAATAAAAACCGCCAAATCTGCAGCTGCGGCTGGCGCGTGTGCTCTTTATTTACACAACTGTCGCCAAGGTACCGTTAATACGTAAGTACCAAAAATTCTTTTATTGTAAGAAAAATAAAAGAAAATTACAAAAATTGTTAATAGCATACTAAAAAAAAACACATACTAATAAAAAGATACTAGAGAGTTTTTGCATACCGTACGTTAGTTACCGTAGGACGTCCGTTAGCTTTTTCTCCCTAGCGCGCATGTTCAGTTTCCTATGAGTATGCGCGCTAGGGAGAAAAAGCTAACGGACGTCCTACGGTAACTAACGTACGGTATGCAAAAACTCTCTATTAGCAAAATATTACAGCATTCTAATAAAAGCAGACGATTCTTGAAAATAGTTTTACAAAACATAATTTGGCAGTGCAAAAGTACTGTTTTTTTTTTTTTTTTTTTTAAAAAATATACCTTATAATAATTTTTTTTAAATTTTGGCTATGTTCCAGACAAAAAAAAAATAATAATAAATTCAGAGGAAAAAAAATGTACTTCTATGTGTTACAGTTTTTAAGCTTCGTGAATTAAATACCGAAGGACAAATCTTTAGTTTTTATATATTATAGATATTGTTATTTTTTTTATTTTTATTTTTCATTTTTATTTATGTATTTTTGTATATAAAGAAATCAAAATATATACTGTAGATAATTTTCAACGATTTTTTTTTTGTGCTGCCCAAAACCAAGTTGTAGTTAGGACACGTGGCCTGTGACCTTCACATGTCTGCTGTTATGGATGCATAGTACCGATTGTATTTTTTTTCCCCTCTCTTTTTCTTTCCTTTTTTTTATTTTTTTATTTTTAGAATCATATTTCATCTCGTCACTCATCTCACTCTCTCACCTCACTCTTT